ACATGTGCTGCTGTTTTGCCCACGGCTCACGATCGAGATGTATACTCGGTCACTTGGAGCAAGGACTCCGGCTTGGTTGCCAGCACAGGAAGGGACGGTAAGCTTGCTCTCTACGAAGAAGTTGACATCCCGCCTGTATCTGTAACAGCCTCTGAAGGACAGAGTGACAATACTGCCTGTACTGATGGCTCTGTCATGCCGAGCATGTCCAATGCGCAGCCTTCGACGTTAGCACCATCTCCGACAACGTGGGAATTGCTGACTACAATACCCAATTCTCATGGACCATTCGAAGTAAACCATATAACCTGGTGTCGGCGTTATGATGCTGGCTCTGAGAAACGAGGAGAGGAGGAGATGCTGGTAACTACTGGGGACGATGGGATAGTCCGCTCGTGGCAGGTAAAGGTTGATGATGCGCCGGGGACAAGAGGTTCGGAGCAGTGTATATGAGTAGAGATAGAGCATACCGTAACTTGCACATAACACCTGGCAAGAGAAATCGACTACTGTCGCGAGTCCATCAAGCTTCAAGATATGCTCACATTATTATCCCCATAGGATCAAACAAAACAAACAGATGCCATTTTCTACCGTACCGAAGCCACGCTATGGGAACAATGGTACCGGTACTACTATAATAGTTGCCCTCGAAAAGGTCATTTTTATGGTACAAATACTACACAAAGGGAGCCCACCCTTTCATTTTCAAGCCGCCTGCACCACAGGCATAAGGCCATTTCTAAATCTTCCACGGTGACACTATCGCACTTCCTCACGAAACCGTTCCATTATTCTAATTATTGTCGTTTACTCGCCCTTCAGCTTGTCCTGCTTCACGGTGAAAGCCATTTCCAAGAACTCCTCTTCTTCTTTCTTGTGCAGATGTTTCGCGCCAGTGGCAACAGACGCACTCGGATTACGGCCAGCGTACATGACATGTTTTCGGTCGTGGTACTTGGTCTGGTTGAGAAGAGTCTCAATACGGGGTTGCGTGAAGCTCCAAGCACCAGCGTTAAGAGGCTCCTCCTGGGCCCAGACAATGGTTTTGGCGTTAGGGTACATATCGAGGTTTTCCTTCAGCTGTTGCCAAGGGAATGGGTTCAGCTGCTCAATGCGGGTGAAAGCCACGTTGTCAATCTTGTTGTCGGCTCGGTACTTATGTAGGGCAGCCCAGACCTGACCAGTGCACAAAATGACACGGTCAATCTCCTCAGGGGCCTTGATTGCACCAGTTTGATGCTCAGGATCAGGAATAATCCACTGGAAGCCAGCATCCTCGCCACTGAAATCCTCAATATTTGAGCGAGCGAGCGGGTGGCGGAGCAAAGACTTGGAGAAAAATATGACAAGAGCTGAGCGCATGTTAGCCAACGTCGTTCTATATCAAGCGCACTGGAAATGAGTGCCCGGGGGTAGAGACTTACGCTTTCGGAACTGTCGGTGCATCTGTCGGCGCAGAACATGGAACAAGTTGGCTGGGGTTGTCATGTAGGCAATCTGCATGTTGCAGTCCTGGTGCTGTCTCGCAAGCTTCTCCTCAGTCGGGAATATACGAGGATCCTCGTTGGACAACTGGAGATAACGTTCCAGACGACCAGACGAGTGCTCGGGACCTTGACCATCATACCCGTGAGGGAGAGACATAATAAGGCCAGTTCGCTGCATCCACTTCACTTCTCCAGAAGCAATAAACTGGTCAATGATACACTGCGCGTTGTTGGCAAAGTCACCAAACTGCGCTTCCCACATAACCAGGGCATTGGGTGACTGCAAGGAGTAACCGTACTCGAACCCAAGAGCACCAAACTCACTCAGGGAGGAGTTGGAGATGACAAATTTGCCCTGGTCCTTACTGATGTGCTGCAGTGGGGTGTATGTCTTCTCGTTCTCTTGTTCATGGAACACGGCATGACGCTGAGAGAATGTGCCTCGCTCAACATCTTGGCCAGAAACACGAACGTGGTATCCTTCAGTGACCAAGCTACCAAACGCTAGAGCCTCTGCTGTGGGGAAATCAATATTCTTTCCTTCAACAACAGACTTAGTCCGGTTCGTAAGAATGCGCTTCAGGTTGCGATGGATCTGGAAACCTTCAGGGGCAGAGCCAATGACTTCGCCAACGTGGTCTAGAGTTTTCCTGTCCACTCCAGTAGCGTGGTGAGGGAGGATCTCCGTAGCTAGCTCCTTGGGGGACTTGAAGCCATTCCACGCAGAAGTAGTCCACTCCTTGGAGGTGGGGGTATAGTCCTTGGACTTGTCAAAGCTCTCTTCAAGCATACCCCAAACCCATTGTTTGTGCTCTTCAATATCTTCCTTTGTGAAAGTGCCTTCTCGTAAAAGCTTGTTGACATAGACGTCAATCTGAGGCTCCTTCTGCTGGATTCTCTTGTACATGAGGGGTTGGGTGAACGACGGCTGATCCGTTTCGTTGTGGCCATGCTTTCGGTAGCAGATTAAGTCAATGACAACATCGTGCTGGAACTCGGCACGCCAGTCAGCAGCCAGCTGGCAAACAAAGTTGACAGCTTCGACGTCATCAGCATTAACGTGGAAGACAGGGGCGTCGATAGCCTTGGCAATATCAGTGCAGTAGGCTGTAGAGCGGGCGAATCGAGGGTCAGTTGTGAAGCCAATTTGGTTGTTCACAACAAGATGGATCGTGCCCCCAGTTGAGAAGGCAGGTAGGGAGTGGAAACCCAAACATTCGTAAACAATGCCCTGGGCAGCAAAGGCAGCATCACCATGCAGGAGAACCCCCATGGCGGTTCTGTGAGTCTTCTCGTCATTATTGTAGTGCTGGATGGCTCGAGTTTTGCCCAGGACAACGGGGTCTTCGGCTTCCAAGTGAGAAGGGTTTGCGACCAGGGAGAGCTGAACGCGTTTACCCGAAGGAGTAGGACGCTCAAAGTTCATTCCCAGGTGGTACTTGACGTCACCGGAACCCTCGTCCTCAGCGCCGAGTGTACCAGCAAATTCTGAAAAGATCGATTCGTTCGGTTTGCGCACGACGTTGCTGAGAACGTTGAGACGACCACGGTGAGGCATGCCAATGACGATGTCCTTGACACCATAATCCACACTGCGGTCAATCAAAGCCTTCATACCGGGGACAAGGGTCTCGCAGCCCTCGAGACCAAACCGCTTGTCATTGGGATACTTGGTTGCCAGGAAAGACTCGAAGCTGGAACTCCAAATAAGCCGATCAAGGACGCGACGCTTCTCGTCAATGGAGTACTTGAACGGCTGGGGAACTTCGAGACGCTCGCGCAGCCAGTCGCACTTCTCGCGATCGGGAATGTGGATGAACTCGACACCCCAGGATCCGGCGTAGATCCTCTCACAAGCGGCCACAATTTCTCGTAATGTCATCTTATCACGGCCTTCGCGTTTGAATCGAGGCAGAATGCCGGGTCCCAGAGTGTATTCGGTGTCAAGGTCGGCTTCGGTGAATCCATAATGTTCGAGGGTCAGCTCCTTGGGCTTGATGTTACCAAAGCCCTCAGCGGTGTTCCTGATACCAAGGGGATCAATGTTGGCCTTGTGATGGCCACGGGCCTGGTAGGCGCGGACGAGTAGCTGAACTTTCAGATGATTTGTGACATCAGAGCCATCCTCAAGTGCTAGGTTGCCGGCAAGACGGGGTACGCCCCCAGTCATGTTAGGAACCAGGTTTGGTGGCGGCTGAAAAGCCTGGGAGATGGGCATGTCGCCACTTTCCATGTTCTTGAAATAGACCTGCCAGGACACATGAACACTCTTGGGATCTTGCTTCCACTGCATGTACATCTCATCAATGTAGTTGGCAGCGCCTCCAGACAGAAAGTTGTCACTCGGGTCCGGCGGCGAGTGGAGGGCATCAGTTGCGTACGACCTCGCGGCCGTCGCAGCCAGCGGACGGCGGACGGCGGCGAGCTTCCATGATGACGTTCGGGCAGAGACTGTCGGGATGGAGCTTCTTGATAGAGCTGCGGAACATCGAGCACCGCGGAGCACCTGTGAACTAGCTCTACAGAGCGGATTCCTCAACATGGTGAGGGTTGATGATGGATGGGGAGCTTCAGGAGACGATACAACAGATGCGTAACGGAGGAATGCGGTTAACACTCAATCGAACGATGCATTCCCCAATTTCTTGATCGCAAGTTGATCAGAAAAGAATGGCAAGGCAAGTTGCAGATGGAAGCAACGGAGCTGGGGAGTCTTGGGGAGGGAGAGATGAGATAAAGAAGTCGAAGTTGCAGGCTGGTAGTCCACGGGAGCCATTTACAAAAACCTGCTTGCACCGGCGGGCAAACAGCGGCTGGTTTCCGGGGCGGCAACTCGAGTCTGGTGCTGCAATTCTCGGACGTGCCGGGCCAGAGGCACCTGGGAGGTCACGGCAGTGGCCCAGGGGGGTCACAGGGCATCCTCAATGCATTGACTCCGCGTGCGTCGCATCCACAGGGGCATGGACAGCCACTCACAGCACTGCTATTCACCTTGAATGTTGCAGATGGCCCATCCAGGCCCTTGCTCTAGAATCCGGCCACCCGGCTGACTGCAAGCTAAGGAGACCCGAGACGGTGCCTGTCGCAAAGGACGTGCACTGTTACCAGGCTGTTGAGGCCCTGAGACTGCTACAGTGTGGTGCGTTGCAGATCACACGGTACGGGTTGGGTAGGGGGAGTTTCCGGGTCGCGGCCTGATGTCAAGACACTTTACCGACGCCACAGTCCTTCGGTCAAGCCACACGCTCCCAGGCAGTTTCGGTCAGTCACCAGCCTCGCGCAGCCCCCGTTTGATACGACATGTCAGCCGTCGGGACTACAGTTCCCGAACGTTACCTTAGGTAACTGCCTTCACAGCTTCAACCTTCACTCACACTGCGCCTTCATCAAAGCACTCTGTCAGCCCTTTGTCGATACCGCAAACCATCCCTCGAGTGTATCCGCAAAGAGATCGTGCGCCGTAACCTATCTTCTTATGAAGTTTGGGGTGGGTTCTTTCCCAGCGGCACCATGGCCGCTCCAGCAGGTCGCACTTTGTTTAAAAAGAAGGATGGAATCCTCACCTTAACGGGTGACTACCAAATTGTCACATGGACTCCAAATAGTGGTGGGCCCCCGACAATTTCTTTACCAGTGTCCAACATTACGAGTAAGAAAGCTTCATATGTAGTCTTTTTGTCTTCGTGCTTTCTAACACAAGTACCTCAGATCTTCAGCAGACCCCAGAAACGGCTGCCAAGGTTATGTTAAAGATTTTCGAAAAGGCAGACAATGGAGCCGACCCTGCAACGTACCTCTTCCACTTTAACACATCGGAAGCAAAGGCCGAAGCAAAGGCTATCAAGGATGTTCTGTCCAAGATCCTGGCTGATATGAGGAGCAATGATGCCGGCGTGCCTCGTCCAAATGTTGCCACGCCGACCGCTGGAGATGCCTCTACTCCTGCCGCTGCTGGCAGTGGGTCGGCAGCCATGGCATTTGCAAGCGCAGTAAACTCTCAGGCTTCGGCATCAACGAGGTGGTTCGATGACAATCAGCTAAAAAACGACATAGAGCTGCAACAGTCGCTGATGAAGAAAGACAAAAGTCTTCACCAAACGTACGTGGAGGCCATCACCACAAAACCAGAGTCGATATCTGGCGCGGCATTCAACTCACAATTTTGGTCTACGCGCACGAACTTACTCAGAGCCCATGCTATTGAAATAAATCAGAAAAAGGGGGCGTATAACGTCCTCTCGACAGTCAAACCACGAACCGTTGATGGAGAGTTGAAACTAAATATCAGTGTCGAGCAAGTTCAGATGATATTTGCACAGCATCCGCTGGTTAAACGAATCTATAACGAGAACGTCCCAAAGCTTTCGGAAGCGGATTTTTGGTCCCGGTTTTTTCTTAGTCGTATGTCGAAGAAACTCAGAGGGGAGCGGATAACCGACAATGATGCTCAAGATCCCCTGTTCGACAAGTATGATGTGACTGAAAATACCGAAGGCGTTCAAAGCAAAATCATGGCCCAAAGTGTCCCCCATATCATTGATCTAGAAGGAAACGAGTCAAACCAGGGAGGCTTCAAGGGTGGTAATGCCAAAGATGTCGAGATGAGGCCCAGGGCAAACATACCTATCGTGAAGACTTTGAATAGTCTTAGCGAGAAGATCATGGCTAATGTCGCGCCTTCCGACGTGTATGATGACAACGGTAGCGGGGAACGGGATGAGTTCAATGAGCTGGCACTTCGAGACTTGCGTGGCAATACAGCGGAGCATCGCATCATGCTCAACGTGAAGGAGCAAAACAGGTTCTTTCAAAAACAAGACTCCGCACCATCAGAGAATGCTCGTGTGTTTGCGACACAAAAACCAAAGGAGGTCTTGTCCAAGATTAGGAACTCGTTGCGGAAATTTGAAACAGACTCTAGCGGCGGAGCCAGTTTACAGGCTGCCATTGCATTTGAAGACGAAAGCGACAGTGACGAGGAGAGCCAGAAACATATACAAGTCAGCTCCAGGGCTGCCATCAAAGTCGCGGGAAAGGAGGTCATGGAGGGTGTTCTTCAACAGCGAGCACAAAAGTATGGCCACAGCACAGACGCAACGTCTCCCATGGGGCTACCCCCTCCCATGACAGAAAAGTGCACCCTCACGCACGCGACAAGCATTGAATTTCTTCACCAGTTCTGGACTGCGTTTCTCTCGGGGGACCCCGATCGTGCAGCTGAGCTGCAATATCTGGCTGAATCTCTGAAACGATCATCCGCCCGCATCTCCGCTGTTGCAGAGGAGGCTGACAAGGAGCGGGAGAGCGTCATTCGCCAGCGTAAACAAGAGATTCGCAACCACTTTGAACGTACGGGGAAGAAAATCAGGTGGAAGTCTGATATGGTCGGTGGTGGGCGAGACGCTGTTCTCAAACTGATGCAGCCGGTGCTTGATGCTCTAGACAAGGCACAAGCTGAATACTCTAGAGCTCTAGCGGCTGAGGGAATTCAAATATCGACCGAAGGCTAATAAGTGATGTCGTATTTGCAAAATACGCTTGCATATGACTGGTTGGTGGAGAATCTCGGAGCAGAAATACCTGTACAATGGATGTAAACGGATAGATGCATCCACTCATTCATGCTTTGGTTGTGGACATTGTTGTGTTTCGAGAAGCGACGACAACGCGGCAAGGTCAGAACAAGACTGTGCTACTCTTGTAATATATATAAATAGTAAAACTACATTTGCCTATCAGTTCGACATGGCAATTTTGCGGTAGGTCTATCAAAATCCAATGCCAGTCAAACGCAAATCTCCACCATGTAAATATACAGTGTGCTCTGCTGGGACATCCTCAGCGTTCTATGTGGCCAAACTTGGCACTTGAGAAGTTCAACCCCTGTGCTGGTTGCAAAAACATCCCGAAAGTTCATTCCACGGAGATTGTAGAACGAATTCTTGCCTCACTACCATTAGCATGTCCTTTGTTTTCAAGGACTCCGAATCCCATGGATGCCTTCTTTTTCTGCCTTCGTCCGTTTCCATACTCATCATCGAACCTGCGTATCAGCTTCAGTGACGTCATATCTTCGCTGACGCTCGCAGGTATTTGCTTCAAGGCATTTTCAAAATGATCCCTGCGCAAAACACGGCGCTCTGGGTACTGGTATGGCTCAGGGCCCTCGTGATCAGCGGCCATCTCATTCTCCTCCTCCACAGCGGCCATGGCAGCTGCAACACAAACGTTTTTCAGATCCGAGCCGGAATAATACGGAGTTTTCCGCGCCAGGTCGTCTAACGACACAGAACTGTCCAATGACTCGTCTCTTAGGAGAAGACGCAAGATGGCTGCGCGGTCGGCATTCAGCGGCAAGTCCATGAGAATTTTACGAGGTAACCTCCGCAGCACAGCATCATCAAGATCAAAAGGTCGATTCGTCGCCACCATAATAAAAGCGTTTGTCTCTTCCATGCCGTCCCACTCTTTCAAGAACTGGTTGATGTGCTCGCGATGTGAAGCTCTGTTGCTAAACATGCTGCGTTTCGCAAGTAGAGAATCGGCTTCGTCAATGAACACGACGCATGGCTCCAACTTTTTAGCCAAGGTGAAAACCGCGCGGATCAATTTCTCACTCTCTCCAACCCATTTATCATTGATCGTTGCGCCGCTAATTTCAAGCATATTGGCACCGCTCTCCTTTGCCACGGCTTTGGCAAGCATCGTCTTACCAGTTCCAGGTGGCCCATACAACAAACAACCTGGTATCCTATCCTGAGCAAGCACGCCGTAAGCAAAAGCATCAGGGCGTACAAGGGCCAGTGATGTGAGCAGTTTTAGAGCAGATATAGTCTCTTTCGGGGCATGGACATCTTCAAATGTTGTGCGAAGGTTCTCGCGATTTATTTGCCCAGAAGAGATGCGCTTTTCGTACTCATTGAGCTTCATTCCAATTCGTCCATCAGACTTAGCCTCTTCCCGATTCTGATGGTGTGTATCAGCTTCGTTGTCCATCTCGCTGTCATCTTTGTCAAGGAAGCGCTGGCCAGGCTGTTGTCGAAGCGGGCCCATGGCACATCGTTCCAAGAATCCCATAGGGCCTGTCCCTGGATTTTGGTCTTCAAGCGCTCTGAAGGCGCAGGCCAGGTGATACACTTCAGGAATAGGCAGAATGGAATCTCGCAAAAGGGAAAACTTGGGGTTCCCAGAATGGAGGTACGCTATGATGTTCTCATTTGAAAGGTCCACCACCACTGGTGAGTCATTGGGGCTCAATGCTCTGAGCATCCGATTTATGTTGCAGATATTCTCTGTAAAATAGTCTGCTTTTTGGAGGCTAAATCGGGCCTGTCCAGAACTAGCCTTTGCCACCGTCCGTCTGTCAACTCGATCTGGCTCAAGGTGTCGTGTAATGACCCAGTCGGTGGCTGCAAATTGGCTGACTGCATTCTGATATTCTTCAGAACACTTCTCAGATGAGGATGTTCCTACAATAGCAATCTTCATTCCCTGATGCCAAGCAGCATCTACCAGTGTTCTCAGCCTGCCAAGCAATAGTGATCCTTCCAACGTCATGCTCAACTCAACAATGTCGTGAAGATGAATAAGAATTGGTCGCTGGGGCGTTTGAGGCGAACCGGCCTTCAGCTCCGGGGCACGAATGATGTGGTCCAAGATCTTATCAATTTTAAGATTCTCCCATTTACTGAAGCAATCATATTCGCCGTGTCTGATCTTTTGAAGGTCATCGTCAAGGGAGCCCGTGGATGCCCGCAGTCCGATAATGCTGGCCTCTGCATCATGGTCATCTTCTTCACTCAAGCGAGAGTTATCGCCAGGTTCTCTCACAAGCTTGCCGTTTAATTGAGCAGCACGAAAGCCCATCATGGAAACCGCGCCGCGACAGTACGCCCAGTTCAAACCCAGGTAGTCGCCTACAAGCACTGACAGATCTTGCGCATCCAAGTGAATCAGGTCTGCGTGATTCCAGAATGCCAGATGCTCGCCCACAGCCTGGGATATAGACTTGCCGCCATATCCAGACATTGAGAGAATGGTTATTGGGCGCTTGCTAGATTTTGCATCGAAGACTGTCGGTGGTAATGCTTGTAGATCGCGCTTGACTGCATGATGTATAGACATGAGGGTATCTACTGGTAGGTCCGCAACGGCATGAGATAAGGGGTAAGCGAGTTGCTCCGCGTGGCCGAGTCGTCCGTCCAGGGAAAGAGTGAGAGCAAGAAGTTGGTCTCGAGAGTTTTGGGTGCGCTCGTCGAGATGCTTGTATATGTCCCACCACCAAAACGGCCGCACTTTATACGTATATTCGGGTTGCCTCGCTGGATAGATACAATCGACAACGTGCCACGCAGAATCGAGGATCATGTCCCAAATACGAACTACGGACTGAATAGAGGCGGATGTGTTCCAGTGGTTGTCTTGATGGTGGGTTTTGGAGCGCTCAAAGTCCATCGCAAGTTCACAATCTCTTAGCAGTAAGATGGTGAGAGCAGTATCGAAATATGACTGCAAGGCTTGGTGCTTCTGCCTTGACAGAGAGGTATGACCTTGGAAGAGTCGCGACGTCTTGTCGCGTGTGGCATCTTCAACAAGCGCCACCGGCAGCCGCGGTAGCCTCTCGACCGAGTAAAGGGATATGTTGGTATCGAGAAAGCTGGATGGCAGCTTGACAGGCGGCAGAGCGGAGGCTGCTCGTCGGCGAGCCAGGCGGTTCTTCAAAGCACCAGATGTCTGGTTTCTTGCACGACCACCAGTTGTCTCGGTGGCAGGTTGCAGCTCGGGTTCATTGTCGTGTTCCGTGATGGAGTCATCGGAAGGCTTGCCCCCAGGCACAGAGCCATTCCCGATGCGACGATCGGGGGTCGAGTGAAAGGCTCGCAAAGATGGTGCCCAAGAAGCTCTAGCCGTCACCACGATGGTCGCAGGAAGAGCCTTAAGAATAGGGGTCCGCATCCGGACGGCAAGTCAAAGACGTGCGCGCGCAAAGAGAAGACAACGGCGGCGGCGAGAAGTTGCAACCCGGGATTTGGCACTAGATGTCATGGCCCAGCCGCAATGCCGACCGATACCTGGACTGCTGCATCCTCAATCTCAACTCAATGTCGACGTCTTTCTCGTCGTTTGGCACCGGTAGGAAAGCAAAGGCCAGGGTGAGTGAGCAAGAAGGCCCACGCATTAGTAATTTTTTTCCCGACGCTGGCTTGCATGAGGAGAAGGGGGGGGAGGGGTTCCTAATATTCAGTGGCTTGGGGTGCCTAGTACGGAGTGCGTACTCCGTAGTTACATACTGGGGAGCACCAGAGGAGTGGCAATACAGAGTAGTAAGTACTGGGTAGTACGAGTGCTGCCACACTGATGCGTCCTCTACGGAGTAATAGGACTGTCAATCTACAGAGTACCTAGGTAGGTACTTAGTACTTAGTGTTTATCCCCCGGGGCATGCATCTGTATACTCGGAGGCAAGGCACTGGGAGCCTCAGTGGTTAACGGCGCGCTTGATGGCTTGAAATGGCCAAACGTACAGCCCGCCCCAAATCAGGGCTTAGACTCCAGTATCAGCCTCCATTCTGTGACGACATGGAGGCATAATAATATTGACGGCTAATAGTTGACAGCAAATCTGGGCCAGCTGTCTCCTCAGGCTCCCTCCAGCACTGGGCCGATCAATTGATCTCCAAAACTCCATTCTTGCTCATCCAAAACCTGTCGCCCACTGGTCAGCTCCTGTCATTGGTGACACACGAGCTCCTTCACAATACCTTGGCATTCAATATTGAATGCTCGAGTGCAGAAGAGACGACATCTTGGCCTTCCCAGGTCGAGCTTGCAAAACCGGGTGGCAGTTGGCCAACTTGGCTTGCTCCCCTGCCAAGTAAGTTGAGTCTGGTGCTTCTGTCCCGCAACAGCAAGCGCAGCTACCATCGCCAGGTGCCAGCTCAAGTGCTTGCTATCAATTAATATCGATCCTACTTTCGAGCTAGTCTGGCCCCTGCCGACTGGAATCTTGGATCCTCCAACAGCGTGTGTATGGAAAGCGGCGGCATGGTTCAGTGACTATCATGCTAAGCTTGAAAACCTTTGGAAGCCAAGTAAGTGCCTTCCAATAGTTTGGTCTTTCATCTTGATGTGGCGCTCCGGACTACAGTGGGAGGCAAAGAGAATTTAACCAGACAGGTACCTGGCTATCGCGCTTTATACACTTATATACTACGGTATATTAGTGTATACCTCTTCGTACAGTAGGCAGATATATTCTGCCGCAGATAAGACATCTCCCCTCCCAATTACCCAGGGTTCAAATATTCAGGCAAAAAATGACATAATACCATAATGTCGGCCACATCCGGTAGCGGCTCTTCAGTTTGGTTCTCGGATTCTCCTCTTCGAAACAAGCCCTATCATGCGAAACGGCCTCACAAGAAGTCCCGCCTCGGATGCCAGAATTGCAAGAAGCGCAAAGTCAAGTGCGATGAGAAACGTCCATCGTGTGGAATATGCACTCTTCGTG